GACTCTGGCCAAATCATCCATTTAGCTCTAGGTATAGAATTCTGGGGCTTTCCTTAACCCTCATCTTCATTCCTCCCAAATTATTCCAACAAAAATGTTCTAAAACCATTATAACCACAGTCACCACCACAGAAACAACCTCACCTATCTGATACTTATTTTCACTGCTAGACTTTTTTCTTTCCATCACTGTGACAAATACCTGAAAGAATGGACTTAAAGTTCACATTTTCAGAAACTTCAGTTGGCAATTGGCTATGTTCATATTTCTGGGCCTGTAATACAGCAAAATATCATGGCAGGAGGATACAGAAGGAGAAAGCCCCTCAATGCATATGAGACAGTAAACAGAGAATTCGTGCCTATGCTAACATTTCTCTTCTTTTAATTCATTCCATTTGAGCCTTCAGTTCATGCTGGTGCTGCTCATATTCAAGGTGAATCTTACTTTCCTTAATTACTTCTCTCTGAAAATTCCCCAAGGACACACCCAGAAATGTGTTTTATCACCTGGAAATCTTTCAAACCAATCAAGTTAAAAGTTGAGATTAATCAGTATGATTAATCAGTAAAGAAGAGGACTTTCTTAACTTCACAAAAACAATCTGTTCCTTAAAAAATTATTAACAACATCGTACTTAATGGTTCGTAATAGGAAGCACTCCGTCTAAACTCAGAAACAAGGCAAATATGTCTCCTTTTACCACTATTTACATCATACTGGAAATTTTGCCAAGTAGAATTACTGAATGAAAGGAAATAACTGGTATATACAGTTAGAACCAAGAAATAAAACTGCCTTTGTTTACATGACATGAGTGTCCCAGTAGAAAATATCAAAGAACTGACAAAAGTTTCTAGAATTAGTACAGCTAGATTTCATGATACAAAGTTAATAAACACAACATAACCAGCACAATTTGAAACTTAAAACACATCACAATTTATATTAGCATACCTTTGATACTAATTAGGTACAGTCTAATAACTTTTGTATAAGATGTCTAGTAGGAAAACTAGAAAACTGATGAAATAAATAAAAGGGCCAAACAAATTAAAAGGACTTCTGGAATCAAGGATACAAACACCCAACAGTTTCAACGTATTAGTTCTTTCCAACATGATCTATAAATTCAATACAAGCCCCCCATAAACCCTAAACAACTTATTTTATAAGAATAAGAGATTGATTCTGAAATTTCTATTGAGAGGCAAAAGATATGGAATAGCCAATTCAACATTAGAAAAGAATAAAGGCAGTGGAACATTCCAACCAATTTCAAGAATGTGTTAATTACTTGTCTCATTGCTGTGACAAAATACCTGGCAAAAGCAAGTTAAGGAAGAATTTCTTTCCTATTATAATTTCTGGGGACATAATGCACCATGGCAGGAAGGAACAATGGGAAGAGCAGGAAACAGCTGGGCAAACTGTGTCCACATCTGAGAGAGTGATGAATGCCTGAGCTCAGCTCACTTTCTTCTTTTTATTTATTCAGTCAGTCAGCACAGCCCATGGAATGGTGTGACCCACATTTAGGTTATTTTTCCTATGTCAGTTAACTTAATCAGGACAATACCTCACAGACATGTCCAGAGACTGTTTCCATGGTGACTCTAAATCTCATCTAATGGAAGGAAATGGGGAAAGAGAAACCAAGACTACAATATACTGTATAATTCTTCAATTAAAAAATGATTAACCCCCACAAAGACTGACTATAAGGCTAAAGTAATAAGAACAATGTGGTATTCACCAAAATAATAGACAGGTTAATCAATGTAACAGAATAAGTTCCCATTAGTGGATACATATTAATACAGCTAACTTGTCTTTGACAAAGGACAAAAGGAAGTATAATGAAGAAAATATAAGTCTTTCAATTAACGCTGCCAGAACTGGATATCCACATGCAAAAACAAAAATGAAGATAGAAAGCCAGGCATGGTGGCTGCACATCTTAAATTCCAACACTCAGGAGGCAGGGACAGGCAGAAATCTGTGAGTTTGAGGCCAGCTTCATCTACAAAGCAAGTCCTGGGCCAGTCAGGTCTTTAGGTCCTGTCTAAAAAAATGAATATAATGCTCATAATATGTGGCTCTGTTGGTAGAGCATCTGCCTAATACACATGAAGCCTTGGGTTCAATTTCAGAAAAAGAAAAAAGTCTATACAAAGACCTCACACCCAGAGCAATTAACTTTAAATACATTGATAACCTAAAATGGGCCAGTGTTATGTGTAAAATATAAAACATTAAAACTTCTAGAAGATAACACAAAAGGAAATCTTGATGATTTCAAGTATGATGATAATATATAAAAATGATTAGTAAACTGGGCTTCATTAAAGCATAAAACTTCTGCTCTTCAAAAGACACTATCAGGAAAAATAAAAAGAGAAGCTACACATTATAAGAAAATATACCTGCAAAATAAGTATTAGATAAAAGACTATCATGCCAAATATAGAAGTACTTGGTTTAAAAATGGCTAAAGGATCTGAAAAGATGCCTCAGTAAAGAAGAAACACAGATGGAAAACAAGCATATGAAAAACTGCTCAGCAATGTTTTTTTTTTTTTTTTATGGAAGCTCAATTTAAAGCAACAATGGAATATCAGTATACACCTATTAAAATAGCCAAAAGAAAGAAGATTTCCACTACCAAATGCTGTTAAGAATGCAGAATGGGTCACTCATTCATTACCAGTGCAACTGAAAAAAATAATACAGTTACTCTGCATGTTATCAGTGTGTAACAAAACCAAACTTATCCTTAACATAAAATACAACGCTCCTTCTCCTTGGTATTTACTCAAAGGAGTTCGGATGTCGTGGTGTGGTGACAGTGGAGCAGGGTTATAGAATACTGATGTTTATAATAGATTTATGATTGCTAAAACTCAGAAGTGACAAAGATGTTTTCTTAGGAGGTAAATAGATAAATTGTGACATAGCCAGGCGAGGTGTTATTACCCAGCACTTAAGAGAAGTAAGGTATCAAACCATGGGAAGATACGCAGGAGGTTTAAATGCACATTACTAAATAAAAGGAATGGGGGAGGGGACCTGCATGTTGTATGATCACAAGTATACAGTGTTTTGCACAAGGTGAAAGTATGGAAATAGTCAAAGGATCAATAGTTACTAGAGGTTAGAAAGAGTAAGTGATAAAAAATGTGGTGTGGAACACAGTATTTCTTTAACTACATAAAGATGTGTTGCATTTGTTTAAATATGTAAAGTTGTCTTGCTGTTTCACCTTGCCAGCCTAAGGCACCTGATTAGTATAATAAAAAGATGAATGGCCAATAGATAGGCAGAGGAGGGATAGGCAGGGCTGGTGGACAGCCCACCAGGGCCAGCCAGATACCACAGAAGCTGGAAAGCAGGATGGTCAGTGCACGGATGAAGTAAATGAGCCTTAGAGCAGCACATTGATTAACAGAAATTAGTTAATTCAAGTTAAAGAAAAAAACTAGCTAGAAACAAGCCTAAGCTAAGGCCAAACATTCATAATTAGTAATAAATCTCTGTGTCATGATTTGGAAGCTAGAGGTCCAAGAAAGGCTGCTACACACACGAAGCAAAGAGGATTTGTAGGGCAGTCACACTATTTGTATGATATGACAACGGTGAATCCAAGTCATTATAATTTGTCCAAACCTATAGAATGTTCAACCCAAAGAGAAAGGCCTATGTAAACAATACCCCTTAGGTGATAATGATGTGTCAGTGTAAATTTGTCAGTTGAAACAATGGTACCACTGTGGTGCAGATTATCCTAGTGAGGAAATAAGGAGGCATATGAGAACTCTACTTCCTACTTAATTTCCCTGTTAACCTAAAACTTCCCTAAAAAAATAGAACTTATTAAATAAAAAAATAATAACTTCTATATTTACAATGATTTGTTTCATTCCTAGAGTTCTCCACTTGGATACACCTACAAATTCTACCTGGATATTAAATAAGAATCTCAAATCCATTCACTGAGAAATAGTATTTATCACTTAATAAAACATGCAAAGAGAACAGTGTTAGATTCATCCATCTCTGCCTTTAAACTTATGTTTTAATTCATTCTCTTCTCTTCGTTCTGTGTCCCTTATCCCACTGTCTACTGTCCCCTGCTCTAGTACTCTCTTCCATTACTAACTTACACCTTCAGTCACTCCTGTGCCCTAACAAGCTTTTTTTTTGGCTTTTGGAGACAGGGTTTATCTGTGTAGCTTTGGACCCTATCCTGGCCCTCGCTCTAGAGACCAGGCTGGCCTTGAACTCACAGAGATCCGCCTGCCTCTGCCTTCCGAGTGCTGGGATTAAAGGTGTGCAATACCAACGCCCGGCTCTAACAAGCTTTTTAACTCTTTGGTGCCTTCCCATTGTATTGAATGTTTAAAATCTTCAAACTGCAATGTTTCTCTTAATTTCTTTTGCTAAAAATTTACACATTTCCATCACTAAAAGTATTTTTTAAACAGAGTGGACCTCAAAAATCTCCCAGAGTTTCTTTTTTTAGTGTTTTTTTAAGTTTCTACACCTTTAATTTCTAATTTGATGTGTTTATATGAATGAAAGGCATTAAATAGAAGCATGTTAGTTGAAAGAACTTCCCAACAGCAGAGTCTGATGTATATGTCAAATTAAAAACCATTCTTCTAAATACCTGCAATATCTTTCTAGCTCTAAGAATGACAATATTCCAACAACTGAAGAATATAATTAAGTAAATCCTCTGCACCTCACATAAACCAATATGGTTATTAAATACAAGCAAGTATCTTTCCCTAGTTGTGTCCTTTCTACACTCTGTTATTTATCTATAGAAACACAGGAAAACACCAGAAATACAAGGAAGAAGTCTGGATGATAAAATTCAAGGGAGAAAAGTATAAAATAATGAAAGTGGTTTGGTATCAGTTTTTTTCAATAATGAGTACATGAATCAGAAAATATGTAGAATTTTTAAATAAAAATATTCATTGAGTACTCAGCCTTTCTGCATCTCAAACTTTATTCATAAATATCAAACAATTGAAGCATTGTTTTTGGTAGGGTTATTATTTTAGAAGTCACATGGAAAAAACAACTTTACATTTAAGTGGATAGGGGAGAAGTTAAGTAAGGAAAGAAAAACCGGTTACTAATAAGTACCACGGGTTCTCTACTTTTCAGGCGTAGACTCTGGATCAATCAAGTTGCCAAATCCTGAGTCATTTTTATACAAAAGAATAAATTCATTCTTTTATAATGCCAGTATTTGCTTGAGATACTCGTGGCAAAGAGTAAATCCATTCAAGAGATGAAAGTTGGGAACAGGACTGTTGAGACTGTGCAGAAGTAACTGGAAGGTCAGTAATACTGTTGGAGTTAAGAGAGCTGTCAAAGACAAGATAGCAGAAACAGTCAGACCAAGCTGCATAAGGATACAGTATACAAAAGACTCATTAGCTAAAGGCTCAAACCACCGTAAGACTCAGGAGTACAATATAATGTAGGTTCCAGTTTTCTTTCTTTATGTGTTAGTTAACCTTTTCTAAACAGTACCTGGTGAGCTGCATTCTTAAATTCATATAACACCATATTCATGTCTTCCTGTAAATGACAAATTACACATTCCAGTGAATACACTGACTATTCAGTAGCTTAGGTCTCTCTTCAAGTGTGCACTTTGATGATCCTCATTTTTCCTTTTACCTACAGATTTTTTACACCTCTTTTATAAGGATAAACTATCACTAACACATGAGAATGTATCTATGTTCTCACTCCTTATCCATACTCAAAGAAAAATGTTGCATAAATACTAAAAGCTCAGAATTTCTTCTATTACTCTATGAACCCCATACAGGACGACTTATCTTTCTAATAACAATTAATAACATGCAACTGTAAGTGTATTGGGCACTCCCCACATGCAAGGTAGCTATTTGAGTAGCAAGGGAGTAAATAAGACTAGTGTTATCAAGCAGATAAAGCATGATTATTTCTAAGGGAGTTGGCAAATTTTTGCAATAAGTTAATAAGGATGAGTCTGAAAGGCTGAATACAAGTCCACTGGGATCTTGGAAAAGGCGAAAGCATCCCTAACATCCCCCTCACAAATTTGATAACATCACCACCAAAGGCCTTTGAATAGTTGGAGTAAAGAGATGAATAAATAACTAGAAAACATGAAGAAATTCTGTTTAAACATATTTCAGATCTGAAAGTAAATGTTTATAAAACAGGATTCACAATCAAGTAAAAGGGGTGGAGGAGGAGGAAGCTAAGTTTATTCTGTTGTATTAAGTTAAGACTAATGGGTTAAAATAGAAACATCTGTGCTTGGAACCACATACACCATTTTTCATAAAAGTTCATAAAAACTTAAAATGAAAACGTACAGGCCTTTATCCAAAGTCACAATACTTGCCCTGATGTTTTATATTATTAACATTTTTAAAGTTTCTTAAGTGAGTCTGCCTAAGTATCTAGCAGCACCATACCCCTAAGAATACACTCTTCATGGAAACAATGAACACAACTTTAGCTAAAATTTCAGTTACTGATTTGTACAACTTCATAGTTTTCGAAGTCTGGCCCTGTGACTATCAAAAGGGATTCGTCGAGCTCTAAGCTTTGCCACTACAAGTTTCCTCACTTTCATTCACATTCACTTATTTCTTCTCAAATTCCATTAGTTATGTTTTTCTCCCATTGGAACTCTTTAGAATGAATATTAATGTCACGATCACACACCTACACCCACACCCACACACAAAATGGCTGCAGCCAGAGCACGAACACACACACCAATATCCTGTCACATTCCTATGGAGGATGTTCTTACTCAAAATCAACAGACAGGAAAAAGAAAAAAAGCCTCCACAGGAAAGTTGCTAGTCTCTCCATTCCTCCAAGTCCAGGCCCTCGTAGATTTCACTTCCCCCTAGGGCGGCAACGTGCCTGACTTTTCAAGCACACACACACGCGGGCGCGCGCATACACACACCACATACACGTGTGTGTGTGTGTGTGTATGTGTGTGTGTGTGCGTGGATGTGTGTGTGTGTGTGGGGGTGTGTGTGTGAATGCGCGCGCGTGCGCGCGTCCCCCCCCGCCACCCGCTACTGCCAACAAAACAGTTGTAGCCTTTGTTAAAAATGTCCAGGCACAATGCATCAGAAGAGGGACACATTCCGGAGGAAAGGAAAGTCGTAGGAACGCCACACCCTCTATTGCAACAGCCCAGGCCCATAGCCCACCTCTCCCAAACCCTCTCCGCAGCGCTTGGAAACGTTCCCGACAACTCTGCGTTCTGAGAAAGCAGCCCGGGGGTAGAGAGTAAGCTGGAACATCGCTCAGTGGCACCAAGCAAGGAGACTGAACTTGAAGCTGGGCCACAGTCAAGCAAGGGCCCTCAAGCAAACCTCCCGGCCTGGCCAAGCCCAAGTGCGGACTTGCAGCTTCTACACTCCCTTCTTCCTTCTTCTAATTCATCCTCTCCTACACACCTTGCGGAGTCCCGCCACCGCTCACGACTCTGCCCACGCGGCGGGAGCCAGGAAACCTCGGGCAGCGCCACCACCCACACAGCTGCACGAGTTTCCCGTAACCGGGTCAAAGTCCTGCATACACACCCTGGCCCCTCTCGGGCTGCTACCACGTTCTCTCGGAGGAGTCCCGTACTGCGGCCACACTCACCGAGAGTCCCGCTCCGCTCCTACGCGCTAGGAGAACCGCAAGCAGAGCCTGCGCCCTCCCGCTGCCGCCGGGCCAGGACCGGAGAACCGAGCCAGCAACTGCCGCGAAGCGCCGTAGGCAGCTGTGCGGAGGACTCCAACAGGGTTAAGGAAGAAGGGGAGGGGCCAGGAGGGGTGGGAAGCAAGGGGTGGGGCCAGGCAGGGCGGGAAAGGGAAGAGTGGAGCTGGGGTAGCTTCCACCAACCTGGCTCTGTAGACCATCGAGCTGGAACCTTTCACTCTAGATTCCTGTAAAATCTGCCATTGGCCCCTCTGTGTGTTCCCATATTCACCCGCGAGCAAACCTTGCTTGGAGCAGGACCAAACAGTTGTGGGAGCAGCCTGTCTCTTTCTCAAACCACATAGTCAGTCTCACCACCCCATTACTTCTTTTCCTTTGTTAATTCTCGTTCCACAGTTTCCTTGGCCCTCTTCAAGCTAGTGGAATGGAAATTCCTCATCTACAGAAGTCCTGAGAAGATATGTATGTGAGCCCAGTTTGGGACTAGTGACCAACCAACCTTTGAGTGTTGTCACAGCTCAGGGAATTGCCCTTTCCCTGGGGTCAAACTTGCACTACTTCTAAACAACTCTGGAGGCCAACAATCTGCATTCTCTTTATTTTTTTTTTCTGCATTCTCTTTAAAACAGATTTTTTTAAATTTATTTTTGAGACAAGGTCTTGCTTTGCCGCCCTGGCTGTTTTCATACTCTGTATATAGCCCAGACTGGCCTCTACCTTACAAGGAATTTGCCTCAACCTCCCAAGTGTTGGTGTTACAGGTATGTGCCACAGCATCCTGCTCTGAATAATTACGTTGGTAAAATCCACCCGAATGCCTTGGGAAATGAGAACATAACTTGTCAAATAAGGCCTATTTTTAAATGATTTTTAGGTGTTTGTTTTATAGTTTGAACACTAGGGTTCTAAAAGCTTCTCTTAGACATGGGATACAAGGCCATGCTGTTGTGTAGACTTTCCTATCATGATGAGAAGCCTTCTAGTTGTTAGCAATTCAAGGAGCCTAAAGCGATTATTATTCTATGCTGCATGCATGCTTAGTTTTAAGTTCTGAGCTTTTCTATTTAGACTCTGGTCAGCTGTGGCATGGCATCTCACATGCTTTCAGATCAGCTATTAAAATAAACACACCTCAGTGAACCCAACGTGTATTGGGTGTGGACTCGAAGTGATTTGTTCCAAGTTCATTTGTTCCCACCCCCTTTTTTACTTTAGTCAATGACGGAATTAGGACCACACTAGGAGGCCGTTCCCAATACATACTTTAGTTGTGACTAGAGCATTTTATGGGGCAGTCTGGTCATTGTCACTAAAGATCTAAATATAGTGAAATTCCTCTCATTAGCTTTGTGCTTCTTTCATCTGTGTATTTTACAAAGTTGACTTTCCTGAGATCACTTCTACTTTGCATTTGTTTTTTGTTTGTTTGTTTGTTTTTTAAAAAAAATAAAGCTTAGGGGGATTTAGGAAGTGCTTATTGATGAAAGTCATGCTGGCAGGTTTTGAAGAATGAATCTTTGAGTGACTGAAAATGTAACCTTATCCTACTCTTTTCACTAGTAAGACATTCCCTGCAAAGAAGGCGCTTTAAGAATACAGTGGGTCAAAAAAAGTGATTTTTTACACATCTAATAAGGTAGAGAGGTGGGAGACTTCACTTTTAATTTGATTGCTGGCTTGTTCTTCTTTCCCTTAATGGTCATTTGGTGGAAGTAAAAATCCTAAGTTGAAATAGCTTAAGCAAAATGACAAAGTTATTGTGTAACCCAAATTGTGAAAGGGTAAGTCTGTTGTTAGCCATGAGAATAAATAAAACCAGAAAACAGAATGTTTGAAATTCCATCCCAGGCTCTCAATCTTTCCTCTCTCAGACAGGGTCACTCTTTCAGAACCTCCCAAAGTCACATAATACAGGCTTAGAATCACAGCCTCTGACCAATACTGGCTTCAAGCTCTCAAGTTGGGCCAGATAGAAGATGTTACTCTTCCCTTGCTCTAGGTTTTTAACACACCAGCTAAAGAGTTTGATTGGGTAGATTATCATAACTGATTCTGGACAGTAAATGTATAGATAATAGATAAAATGTAAATGGGACACACACACACACACACACACACACACACACACACACACAAAACTACAGGAAAAAAAGGAAGAAATTTCTAAATGAAAATACAGGATAGAAAGAAATGTTTCCAGACTGGCTCTCATTCCCCAGGTCTAAAGAATGACAGAACACTGAGTTTTGTTTTGAGGTATTTTGTTTTCTTTTTTTATTTTGAAATTTTATATGTATGGCTGTTTTGCCTGCATCAACGTCTATGCATGTCCATGCATGCAGTGACAACAGAGGCCATAAGAGAGCTCCGGATCTCCTGCCATGTGGGGACTGGAAATGCAACCCGGGTCAGAAGAATATTCAGTGTTCTTAACCACTGAGGCATCTTTACTTCCCTGAGATGTTGTTTACAGGAAAAGGAAAAAAAGTACTAGACAAAAATAAACAAAATGCATACTGGGATGGAGGGATGGCTCAGAGGTGAGGAGCACTCTCTGCTCTTTCATAGGACTCAGGTTCAGTTCTCAGAACCCTCATTGTGGTTTATGGCTGCCCATAATTCTAGTTTCAGGGGATCTGACACCCTCTTCTGGCCTCCACTGGCACCAGGCACACACATGGTGCACCTACATACATAAAGATACCCACACATGCACATAAAATAAATAAGTCTTTTTTAAAAAGAAGATACATACAGTACATTATCTGTATTTAAGGACCACAGAGTTGGGATATTCTCATATTCTCTGTGTGTCTCTCCATCTCTGTCTCTATCTCTTTCCCTCAATAATGTGTGTGTTTGTTTTCTATGGCTGCTATAACAAGGCGTAATACAAGCTTACTGTTTGAAAAAAATTACTGAAGTTGAAGAGATGGATCAGGAGGCAAGAGGACCTTCTACTGTTACTGAATACCCAGATTTAGTTTTGAGAGGCTATCTCAGGAGGTTCATCACTACCTGTAACTCCAAAGGCAGGGCATCTGGTACCCTTGCTTTCTTTGAGTTCTTACTACATCATAAGCTAATATAGGCACACACACACACACACACACACACACACACACACACACACACACACACACACACACACACTACATTTGGGGAGAACAGAGGGAGCGTGGTGTACCTTTAGAAGACTCTTTGGGATTGTCTTGCTGAAACTCAAAGTCTTCTAAATAATTTGTAGTCAGTTTACTTTTTCTTACGTTGATTTACTTCTTGCTTAATAAATGAGCCAGGATTCAAAAGCAAATTTTAGAGTTGGTGGTATAGATATAGTATCAGTTTCAACATCACCTCATATCACAGTTACTCCATAGTCTTCTACTCAGAAGTCTCCAAGGAGCCTCCTTCTCTGATATTCCAGTCTCAAACAAATAAATCATGTGTGGATCCAGTGTCCTGCTTGATTAATGTCAATGTCATTGACTTGTAAATCAGATACCTAGCTCTAAACTCTCTACTGATTTTCAAATCTATTGGTAAAAATAAGTAGTGGATAAATGACCTGTTTTCCTCAGGCTATAAAAACAAAGGTCAATTTTTCTCCTCGAAAATTGTTTGTTTGTTTTTGAGACAGGGTTTCTCTATATAGCCTTGGCTGTCCTGGAACTAGCTTTGTATATCAGGCTGGCCTCAATCTCACAGAAATCTGCATGCCTCTGCCTCTCCAGTGCTGTAATTAAAGACGTGTGCCACCACTGTCCAGCAAAATATTCTTTAGCTGGCCCATACACGGATGGGCCACAACCTTTGCATTATTAGCATCATGCTGTAACCAACTGAACTAACCGACCATGGCTTTTTTTATTTCCTTGGTAGTGAAACCACCATGTACTCAACTACACATATTTGTGTGGCACAAATAATAAAAACCTAGAGACAGATATTGGGATTAAAGCTGAACATCAGAGAAGCAAAGCAACCAGCCACTAGAGAGTTCTCACCTCTACCTTTGCTCAGACCTGTCCTCAGACTGCACTGCTCTCCACCAAATCTCAGACTCACTAATCTCTACAAAACCTCAGACTGCCCTCAACTCCTGTTTTCTACGGATTTTCTCTCTCTAGTGCTGGGATTAAAGGCATGGGATCCCATGTGCTGGGATCAAAGGTGTGAGCTCTGTTTCTCTTTTAGACTAATTCACTCTCATATAGCTCAAGGTGGCCTTGACCTCACAGAGATCCATCTGCATATGTCTCTGGAGTGCTGGGATTAAAGGTGTGTACCACCACTGCCTGGCCTCTATGGCTATGGCTAGCTTTACATTCTGATCTTTAGGCAAGATTTGTTTGTTATACCATAAGCAAAGTATTACCACACACTTGAATTGGTAAATCATTCATAGATGCTCTTTTCTGAAGCATTTGTACTTGTATCTGAAGCCTTTTTACCTCCTGTATGTGCCACATACTGTTTTCTTTTCCTTCTGATTAATCCTAACCACCTGAATTACAACTTGGCCTTCCAAATCATTTACTCATCTTTAGTTTTCCCAAATTCAACCTGCCTTGCCCAATTTTTCCAACTATCTTTTTAAAAATACAAATATGGTCACATTACAGCTCTGATTAAATATATTTCTGGAACCTTGTAGGGAGTAATATGGATGTCCCATTTAGACCCAAGCAGTCCATGGTCACTTATTTTCTGTATATTTCCCAGTTGTGAGTGTGTTAACCACTGCCCTGTGCCAAAAAACACTTCTCTGATGCCAAAAAACAGCAATAGTCTATAGGCATAAGCATAACTGTTTCAGAGGCAGCTGGATCCAGGGAATATCAAGGAAGAGAGCCAGAAAGATTTTAAGAGCAAGAAGATGGAGAGAATTGCTCTGAAACGGTGTCTTCTGGGTGTGGTATGACTACTGCAATCACAAACACACAGTAGTTGTTCCCATCTGCACAAGACTTGTATAAGAAAAGGACATAGAAGATAGAGGCAGCCAGACTTCTGTGAGCTTAAGGCCAGCCAAGACAACATAGTGAGACCTTATCTTAATATCTTTTTCTTATTAACTTTAACAT